AGCCACCATCTGCCCGGTTCCTGGCCAAGTGTGGCCCCACAGCAGCTGCAATTCCCACAACAGTAGGGCCACCTGAGGGGCCTGGGGCACATGCAGGGCTGCGGGGAATAGGACTGAGGCGCTGAGGTCAGCGCCTATCGGCCCCAAGCCTGCTGGAATGCCAAGCAGATCCAGTGTGGGAGCCCATGGTGGGTGTTTCCTAGCGGGGAAGGGGCCCGGCAGCGTCTCCTCTGAAGTCTGCTGCTGCCGTGACACTGGTGTCGGCCCCAGGACATGTCCAGCCTCATGCACACCATCTACGAGGTTGTGGACACCTCTGTCAACCACTGCTCCAGCAGGAGCAAGACCCTTCGTGTGAAGCTGACCGTCAGCCCCGAGCCCTCGAGCAGGAGGAAGGAGGGGCCTCCTGCCGGTCAGGGTGAGCCAGTCTGGGTGTGCCAAGCTGGCCTGGCACCCTGCGGGAGGTCCGACTGTGTGCTGGTGGGTGGAGAGAGGAGTGGGGGAGTGAGGAGTGGATGAATGAGAGATGGCAGAGTGAATGGATCGAGAGGGCGAAGAATCATTCAATGAATGAATGAATGAATGGATGCATGAGTGAGAATGAATGAACGCGTGAACGGATTGATGAGTGACTGCATTGGGTGAGTGAGGAGGGATCGAACAAATGAACGAATGAGTGGGTGAGGGAAGGAATGGGCATACATTAATGAGTGGTTGAATGAATAAGTGAATGCACAGGTGAGGGAATGAATTAACGAATGGTGGATAGCTGAGTGAACATATTAATACAAGAGTGGATGCATGAGTGAATGAATGAGTGGATGGACTGGTGAGTCAATGCATTAAGGAGTGAGTGGGTGAGATCCACGAATGAATGGATAGGTGAGTGAGTCAAGACACTAAGGAGTGAGTGAGCGAATGCACGGGAGGGCGAGGCAATACGTGAATGAGCGAGTGACTGAGTGCACAGTGAATGAAGGTGAACGAATGAACGGGAGGGTGAGTCAGTATATCAAAGAGCGGGAGGGTGAGCGATAGGCGAGCGAGTCAGCGCATTAACGAACGAGTGTGCCAAAGACCAGGTGTGTGAGGCAAGACACTGAGTGAGGAATGAATGCGTGAGCGAGCGAACGAATGAGTGGCTAGGCGAGCCAGCGCATTCATGAGCGAGTGAATGAAGGGACAGGAGAGCGAGCCAACACACGGAGCGAGAGAAAGAATGCACGGTGAGTGAGTGAACGGACTGGGAGAGCAAGTCAGTAATTCACGGGGAGTGAACGAGTGCACGAGTGAGCGAAAGAACGTGCGGGCAAACGAGTCGCTGCGCTCATGTGAATGAAGTTAATGAGCGAACGGAGGCATGGGGAGCGAACGCGTGAACGCATGGACAGGTGAGAGCGCGCACCGCTCCCAGCCGTGCGTGAATGAGTGGGCGCGCCGCGCCGGATCGAGGG